GTCTCACTCTTTGTCTACTCGAGCCTCGTCTCGTGTGCCGCCTCGTGGGCGGCGTAGCGCGCGGGCGGCCGTCTCTGCCGCCGCCTCGAGTGAGCCTCGTCTCGCTCTTCGTCTACTCGAGCCTCGTCTCGTGTGCCGCCTCGTGGGCGGCGTGGCGGGTTGGCGGCTGTCTCTGCCGCCGCCTCGAGTGCGCCTCGTCTCGCTCTTCGTCTACTCGAGCCTCGTCTCGTGTGCCGCCCTGTGGGCGGCGTGGCGTGGCGGGCGGCTGTCTCTGCCGCCGCCTCGAGTGAGCCTCGTCTCGCTCTTCGTCTACTCGAGCCTCGTCTCGTGTGCCGCCTCGTGGGCGGCGTGGCGTGGCGGGCGGCTGTCTCTGCCTCCCGCCTCGAGTGAGCCTCGTCTCGCTCTTCGTCTCCTCGAGGCCGCCTCGAGTGAGCCTCGTCTCGCTCTTCGTCTACTCGAGCCTCGTCTCGTGTGCCGCCTCGTGGGCGGCGTGGCGGGCGGGCGGCTGTCTCCGCCGCCGCCTCGAGTGCGCCTCGTCTCGCTCTTTGTCTACTCGAGCCTCGTCTCGTGTGCCGCCTCGTGGGCGGCATAGCGCGCGGGCGGCCGTCTCTGCCGCCGCCTCGAGTGAGCCTCGTCTCGCTCTTCGTCTACTCGAGCCTCGTCTCGTGTGCCGCCTCGTGGGCGGCGTGGCGGGTTGGCGGCTGTCTCTGCCGCCGCCTCGAGTGCGCCTCGTCTCGCTCTTCGTCTACTCGAGCCTCGTCTCGTGTGCCGCCCTGTGGGCGGCGTGGCATGGCGGGCGGCTGTCTCTGCCGCCGCCTCGAGTGAGCCTCGTCTCGCTCTTCGTCTACTCGAGCCTCGTCTCGTGTGCCGCCTCGTGGGCGGCGTGGCGTGGCGGGCGGCTGTCTCTGCCTCCCGCCTCGAGTGAGCCTCGTCTCGCTCTTCGTCTCCTCGAGGCCGCCTCGAGTGCGCCTCGCCTCGCTCTTCGTCTACTCGAGCCTCGTCTCGTGTGCCGCCTCGCGGGCGGGGTGGCGTGGCGGGCGGCTGTCTCTGCCGCCGCCTCGACGTGGGCGGCGTGGCGGGTTGGCGGCTGTCTCTGCCGCCGCCTCGAGTGCGCCTCGTCTCGCTCTTCGTCTACTAGAGCCTCGTCTCGTGTGCCGCCTTGTGGGCGGCGTGGCGTGGCGGGCGGCTGTCTCTGCCGCCGCCTCGAGTGAGCCTCGTCTCGTTCTTCGTGTACTCGAGCCTCGTCTCGTGTGCCGCCTCGTGGGCGGCGTGGCGGGTTGGCGGCTGTCTCTGCCGCCGCCTCGAGTGAGCCTCGTCTCGCTCTTCGTCTACTCGAGCCTCGTCTCGTGTGCCGCCTCGTGGGCGGCGTGGCATGGCGGGCGGCTGTCTCTGCCGCCGCCTCGAGTGCGCCTCGTCTCGCTCTTCGTCTACTAGAGCCTCGTCTCGTGTGCCGCCTTGTGAACGGCGTGGCGTGGCGGGCGGCTGTCTCTGCCTCTGCCTCGAGTGAGCCTCGTCTCGTTCTTCGTCTACTCGAGCCTCGTCTCGTGTGCCTCCTCGTGGGCGGCGTGGCGTGGCGGGCGGCTGTCTCTGCCTCCCGCCTCGAGTGAGCCTCGTCTCGCTCTTCGTCTCCTCGAGGCCGCCTCGAGTGAGCCTCGTCTCGCTCTTCGTCTACTCGAGCCTCGTCTCGTGTGCCGCCTCGTGGGCGGCGTGGCGGGCGGGCGGCTGCCTCTGCCGCCGCCTCGAGTGAGCCTCGTCTCGCCCTTCGTCTACTCGAGCCTCGTCTCGTGTGCCGCCTCGTGGGCGGCGTAGCGGGCGGGCGGCTGTCTCTGCCGCCGCCTCGAGTGAGCCTCGTCTCGCCCTTCATCTACTCGAGCCTCGTCTCGTGTGCCGCCTCGTGGGCGGCGTGGCGGGCGGGCGGCTGTCTCTGCCGCCGCCTCGAGTGAGCCTCGTCTCGCTCTTTGTCTACTCGAGCCTCGTCTCGTGTGCCCCCTCGTGGGCGGCGTGGCGTGGTGGGCGGCCGTCTCTGCTGCCGCCTCGTGTGAGCCTCGTCTCGCTCTTTGTCTTCTCGAGCCTCGCCTCGTATGCCCCTTGTGGGGAGCGTGGCGTGGCGGGCGGCTGTCTCTGCCGCCGCCTCGTGTGAGCCTCGTCTCGCTCTTTGTCTACTCGAGCCTCGTCTCGTGTGCGCCTCGTGGGCGGCGTGGCGTTGCGGGCGGCTGTCTCTGCCGCCGCCTCGAGTGAGCCTCGTCTCGCTCTTCGTCTACTCGAGCCTCGTCTCGTATGCCGCTTGTGGGCGTCGTGGCGTGGCGGGCGGCTGTCTCTGCCGCCGCCTCGAGTGAGCCTCGTCTCGCTCTTCGTCTACTCGAGCCTCGTCTCGTGTGCCGCCTCGTGGGGCGGCGTGGCGTGGCGGGCGGCTGTCTCTGCCGCCGCCTCGTGTGAGCCTCGTCTCGCTCTTCGTCTACTCGAGCCTCGTCTCGTGTGCCGCCTCGTGGGCGGCGTGGCGTGGCGGGCGGCTGTCTCTGCCGCCGCCTCGAGTGAGCCTCGTCTCGCTCTTCGTCTACTCGAGCCTCGTCTCGTGTGCCGCCTCTTGGACGGCGTGGCGGGCGGCTGTCTCTGCCGCCGCCTCGTGTGAGCCTCGTCTCGCTCTTCGTCTACTCGAGCCTCGCCTCGTGTGCCGCCTCGTGGGGCGGCGTGGCGTGGTGGGCGGCTGTCTCTGCCGCCGCCTCGAGTGAGCCTCGTCTCGCTCTTCGTCTACTCGAGCCTCGTCTCGTGTGCCGCCTCGTGGGCGGCGTGGCGTGGCGGGCGGCTGTCTCTGCCGCCGCCTCGAGTGAGCCTCGTCTCGCTCTTCGTCTCCTCGAGGCCGCCTCGAGTGCGCCTCGCCTCGCTCTTCGTCAGCTCGAGCCTCGTCTCGTGTGCCGCCTCGCGGGCGGGGTGGCGTGGCGGGCGGCTGTCTCTGCCGCCGCCTCGACGTGGGCGGCGTGGCGGGTTGGCGGCTGTCTCTGCCGCCGCCTCGAGTGCGCCTCGTCTCGCTCTTCGTCTACTAGAGCCTCGTCTCGTGTGCCGCCTTGTGGGCGGCGTGGCGGGCGGGCGGCTGTCTCTGCTGCCGCCTCGAGTGAGCCTCGTCTCGCTCTTTGTCTACTCGAGCCTCGTCTCGTGTGCCGCCTCGTGGGCGGCGTGGCGTGGCCGGCGGCTGCCTCTGCCGCCGCCTCGAGTGAGCCTCGTCTCGCTCTTTGTCTACTCAAGCCTCGTCTCGTGTGCCGCCTCGTGGGCGGCGTAGCGCGCGGGCGGCCGTCTCTGCCGCCGCCTCGAGTGAGCCTCGTCTCGCTCTTCGTCTACTCGAGCCTCGTCTCGTGTGCCGCCTCGTGGGCGGCGTGGCGGGTTGGCGGCTGTCTCTGCCGCCGCCTCGAGTGCGCCTCGTCTCGCTCTTCGTCTACTCGAGCCTCGTCTCGTGTGCCGCCCTGTGGGCGGCGTGGCGTGGCGGGCGGCTGTCTCTGCCGCCGCCTCGAGTGAGCCTCGTCTCGCTCTTCGTCTACTCGAGCCTCGTCTCGTGTGCCGCCTCGTGGGCGGCGTGGCGTGGCGGGCGGCTGTCTCTGCCTCCCGCCTCGAGTGAGCCTCGTCTCGCTCTTCGTCTCCTCGAGGCCGCCTCGAGTGAGCCTCGTCTCGCTCTTCGTCTACTCGAGCCTCGTCTCGTGTGCCGCCTCGTGGGCGGCGTGGCGGGCGGGCGGCTGTCTCTGCCGCCGCCTCGAGTGAGCCTCGTCTCGCTCTTCGTCTACTCGAGCCTCGTCTCGTGTGCCGCCTCGTGGGCGGCGTGGCGGGCGGGCGGCTGCCTCTGCCGCCGCCTCGAGTGCGCCTCGTCTCGCTCTTCGTCTACTCGAGCCTCGTCTCATGTGCCACCTCGTGGGCGGCGTGGCGGGCGGGCGGCTGTCTCTGCCGCCGCCTCGAGTGAGCCTCGTCTCGCTCTTCGTCTACTCGAGCCTCGTCTCGTGTGCCACCTCGTGGGCGGCGTGGCGGGCGGGCGGCTGCCTCCGCCGCCGCCTCGAGTGAGCCTCGTCTCGCTCTTCGTCTACTCGAGCCACGCCTCGTGTGCCGCCTCGTGGGCGGCGTGGCGTGGCCGGCGGCTGCCTCTGCCGCCGCCTCGAGTGAGCCTCGTTTCGCTCTTTGTCTACTCGAGCCTCGTCTCGTGTGCCGCCTCGTGGGCGGCGTAGCGCGCGGGCGGCCGTCTCTGCCGCCGCCTCGAGTGAGCCTCGTCTCGCTCTTCGTCTACTCGAGCCTCGTCTCGTGTGCCACCTCGTGGGCGGCGTGGCGGGTTGGCGGCTGTCTCTGCCGCCGCCTCGAGTGCGCCTCGTCTCGCTCTTCGTCTACTCGAGCCTCGTCTCGTGTGCCGCCCTGTGGGCGGCGTGGCATGGCGGGCGGCTGTCTCTGCCGCCGCCTCGAGTGAGCCTCGTCTCGCTCTTCGTCTACTCGAGCCTCGTCTCGTGTGCCGCCTCGTGGGCGGCGTGGCGTGGCGGGCGGCTGTCTCTGCCTCCCGCCTCGAGTGAGCCTCGTCTCGCTCTTCGTCTCCTCGAGGCCGCCTCAAGTGCGCCTCGTCTCGCTCTTCGTCTACTCGAGCCTCGTCTCGTGTGCCGCCTCGTGGGCGGGGTGGCGTGGCGGGCGGCTGTCTCTGCCGCCGCCTCGACGTGGGCGGCGTGGCGGGTTGGCGGCTGTCTCTGCCGCCGCCTCGAGTGCGCCTCGTCTCGCTCTTCGTCTACTAGAGCCTCGTCTCGTGTGCCGCCTTGTGGGCGGCGTGGCGTGGCGGGCGGCTGTCTCTGCCGCCGCCTCGAGTGAGCCTCGTCTCGTTCTTCGTGTACTCGAGCCTCGTCTCGTGTGCCGCCTCGTGGGCGGCGTGGCGTGGCGGGCGGCTGTCTCTGCCTCCCGCCTCGAGTGAGCCTCGTCTCGCTCTTCGTCTCCTCGAGGCCGCCTCGAGTGCGCCTCGTCTCGCTCTTCGTCTACTCGAGCCTCGTCTCATGTGCCACCTCGTGAGCGGCGTGGCGTGGCGGGCGGCTGTCTCTGCCGCCGCCTCGAGTGAGCCTCGTCTCGCTCTTCGTCTACTCGAGCCTCGTCTCGTGTGCCGCCTCGTGGGCGGCGTGGCGGGCGGGCGGCTGTCTCCGCCGCCGCCTCGAGTGAGCCTCGTCTCGCTCTTTGTCTACTCGAGCCTCGTCTCGTGTGCCGCCTCGTGGGCGGCGTGGCGTGGCCGGCGGCTGCCTCTGCCGCCGCCTCGAGTGAGCCTCGTCTCGCTCTTTGTCTACTCGAGCCTCGTCTCGTGTGCCGCCTCGTGGGCGGCGGACGCGATGGGCGGCCGTCTCTGCCGCCGCCTCGAGTGAGCCTCGTCTCGCTCTTCGTCTACTCGAGCCACGCCTCGTGTGCCACCTCGTGGGCGGCGTGGGGGGCGGGCGGCTGTCTCTGCCGCCGCCTCGAGTGAGCCTCGTCTCGCTCTTCGTCTACTCGAGCCTCGTCTCGTGTGCCGCCTCGTGGGCGGCGTGGCGGGCGGGCGGCTGTCTCTGCCTCCGCCTCGAGTGAGCCTCGTCTCGCCCTTCGTCTACTCGAGCCTCGTCTCGTGTGCCGCCTCGTGGGCGGCGTAGCGCGCGGGCGGCCGTCTCTGCCGCCGCCTCGAGTGAGCCTCGTCTCGCTCTTCGTCTACTCGAGCCACGCCTCGTGTGCCACCTCGTGGGCGGCGTGGCGGGCGGCTGTCTCTGCCGCCGCCTCGAGTGAGCCTCGTCTCGCTCTTCGTCTACTCGAGCCTCGTCTCGTGTGCCGCCTCGTGGGCGGCGTGGCGGGCGGGCGGCTGTCTCCGCCTCCGCCTCGAGTGAGCCTCGTCTCGCCCTTCGTCTACTCGAGCCTCGTCTCGTGTGCCGCCTCGTGGGCGGCGTGGCGTGGCGGGCGGCTGTCTCTGCTACCGCCTCGTGTGAGCCTCGCCTCGCTCTTCGTCTACTCGAGCCTCGTCTCGTGTGCCGCCTCTTGAGCGGCGTGGCGTGGCGGGCGGCCGTCTCTGCCGCCGCCTCGAGTGAGCGCGTCTCGCTCTTCGTCTACTCGAGCCTCGTCTCGTGTGCCGCCTCGTGGGCGGCGTGGCGTGGCGGGCGGCCGTCTCTGCCGCCGCCTTGTGTGAGCCTCGTCTCGCTCTTCGTCTACTCGAGCCTCGTCTCGTGTGCCGCCTCTTGGACGGCGTGGCGTGGCGGGCGGCTGTCTCTGCCGCCGCCTCGAGTGAGCCTCGTCTCGCTCTTCGTCTACTCGAGCCTCGTCTCGTGTGCCGCCTCGTGGGCGGCGTGGCGTGGCGGGCTGCTGAATCTGCCGCCGCCTCGAGTGAGCCTCGTCTCGCTCTTCGCCTACTTGAGCCTCGTCTCGTGTGCCGCCTCGTGGGCGGCGTGGCGGGCGGGCGGCTGTCTCTGCCGCCGCCTCGAGTGAGCCTCGTCTCGCTCTTCGTCTACTCGAGCCTCGTCTCGTGTGCCGCCTCGTGGGCGGCGTGGCGGGTTGGCGGCTGTCTCTGCCGCCGCCTCGAGTGCGCCTCGTCTCGCTCTTCGTCTACTCGAGCCTCGTCTCGTGTGCCGCCTTGTGGGCGGCGTGGCGTGGCGGGCGGCTGTCTCTGCCGCCGCCTCGAGTGAGCCTCGTCTCGTTCTTCGTCTACTCGAGCCTCGTCTCGTGTGCCGCCTCGTGGGCGGCGTGGCGTGGCGGGCGGCTGTCTCTGCCTCCCGCCTCGAGTGAGCCTCGTCTCGCTCTTCGTCTCCTCGAGGCCGCCTCGAGTGAGCCTCGTCTCGCTCTTCGTCTACTCGAGCCTCGTCTCGTGTGCCACCTCGTGAGCGGCGTGGCGTGGCGGGCGGCTGTCTCTGCCGCCGCCTCGAGTGAGCCTCGTCTCGCTCTTCGTCTACTCGAGCCTCGTCTCGTGTGCCGCCTCGTGGGCGGCGTGGCGGGCGGGCGGCTGTCTCCGCCGCCGCCTCGAGTGAGCCTCGTCTCGCTCTTCGTCTACTCGAGCCTCGTCTCGTGTGCCGCCTCGTGGGCGGCGTGGCGGGCGGGCGGCTGTCTCTGCCGCCGCCTCGAGTGAGCCTCGTCTCGCTCTTCGTCTACTCGAGCCTCGTCTCGTGTGCCACCTCGTGGGCGGCGTGGCGGGCGGGCGGCTGCCTCCGCCGCCGCCTCGAGTGAGCCTCGTCTCGCTCTTCGTCTACTCGAGCCTCGCCTCGTGTGCCGCCTCGTGCGCGGCGTGGCGGGCGGGCGGCTGTCTCTGCCGCCGCCTCGAGTGCGCCTCGTCTCGCTCTTCGTCTACTCGAGCCTCGTCTCGTGTGCCGCCTCGTGGGCGGGGTGGCGTGGCGGGCGGCTGTCTCTGCCGCCGCCTCGAGTGAGCCTCGTCTCGCTCTTCGTCTACTCGAGCCACGCCTCGTGTGCCACCTCGTGGGCGGCGTGGCGGGCGGGCGGCCGTCTCTGCCGCCGCCTCGAGTGAGCCTCGTCTCGCTCTTCGTCTACTCGAGCCTCGTCTCGTGTGCCGCCTCGTGGGCGGCGTGGCGGGCGGGCGGCTGTCTCTGCCTCCGCCTCGAGTGCGCCTCGTCTCGCTCTTTGTCTACTCGAGCCTCGTCTCGTGTGCCGCCTCGTGGGCGGCGTGGCGGGCGGGCGGCTGTCTCTGCCGCCGCCTCGAGTGAGCCTCGTCTCGCTCTTTGTCTACTCGAGCCTCGTCTCGTGTGCCGCCTCGTGGGCGGCGTGGCGGGCGGGCGGCTGTCTCTGCCGCCGCCTCGAGTGAGCCTCGTCTCGCTCTTCGTCTACTCAAGCCTCGTCTCGTGTGCCGCCTCGTGGGCGGGGTGGCGTGGCGGGCGGCTGTCTCTGCCGCCGCCTCGAGTGAGCCTCGTCTCGCTCTTTGTCTACTCTTGCCTCGCCTCGTGTGCCGCCTCGTGGGCGGCGTGGCGGGCGGGCGGCTGTCTCTGCCGCCGCCTCGAGTGAGCCTCGTCTCGCTCTTCGTCTACTCAAGCCTCGTCTCGTGTGCCGCCTCGTGGGAGGGGTGGCGGGCGGGCGGCTGTCTCTGCCGCCGCCTCGAGTGAGCCTCGTCTCGCTCTTCGTCTACTCGAGCCTCGTCTCGTGTGCCGCCTCGTGGGCGGCGTGGCGGGCGGGCGGCTGCCTCTGCCGCCGCCTCGAGTGAGCCTCGTCTCGCTCTTTGTCTACTCGAGCCTCGTCTCGTGTGCCGCCTCGCGGGCGGCGTGGCGCGCGGGCGGCTGTCTCTGCCGCCGCCTCGAGTGAGCCTGTCTAGCTCTTCGTCTACTCGAGCCTCGTCTCGTGTGCCGCCTCGTGGGCGGCGTGGCGGGTGGGCGGCTGTCTCTGCCGCCGCCTCGAGTGCGCCTCGTCTCGCTCTTCGTCTACTCGAGCCTCGTCTCGTGTGCCGCCTCGTGGGCGGCGTGGCATGGCGGGCGGCTGTCTCTGCCGCCGCCTCGAGTGCGCCTCGTCTCGCTCTTCGTCTACTCGAGCCTCGTCTCGTGTGCCGCCTCGTGGGCGGGGTGGCGTGGCGGGCGGCTGTCTCTGCCGCCGCCTCGAGTGAGCCTCGTCTCGCTCTTCGTCTACTCGCGCGCCACGTCTCGTTTGCCGCCTCGTGGGCGGCGTGGCGGGCGGGCGGCTGTCTCTGCCGCCGCCTCGAGTGAGCCTCGTCTCGCTCTTCGTCTACTCGAGCCTCGTCTCGTGTGCCGCCTTGTGGGCGGCGTCGCGTGGCGGGCGGCTGTCTCCGCCGCTGCCTCGAGTGAGCCTCGTCTCGCTCTTCGTCTACTCGAGCCTCGTCTCGTGTGCCGCCTCGTGGGCGGCGTGGCGTGGCGGGCTGCTGTCTCTGCCGCCGCCTTGTGTGAGCCTCGTCTCGCTCTTCGCCTACTTGAGCCTCGTCTCGTGTGCCGCCTCGTGGGCGGCGTGGCGTGGCGGGCGGCCGTCTCTGCCGCCGCCTCGAGTGAGCGCGTCTCGCTCTTCGTCTACTCGAGCCTCGTCTCGTGTGCCGCCTCGTGGGCGGCGTGGCGTGGCGGGCGGCTGTCTGTGCCGCCGCCTCGTGTGAGCCTCGTCTCGCTCTTCGTCTACTCGAGCCTCGTCTCGTGTGCCGCCTCGTGGGCGGCGTGGCGGGCGGCTGTCTCTGCCGCCGCCTCGAGTGAGCCTCGTCTCGCTCTTCGTCTACTCGAGCCTCGTCTCGTGTGCCGCCTCGTGGGCGGCGTGGCGTGGCGGGCGGCTGTCTCTGCCGCCGCCTCGTGTGAGCCTCGTCTCGCTCTTCGTCTACTCGAGCCTCGTCTCGTGCGCCGCCTCGTGGGCGGCGTGGCGTGGCGGGCGGCTGTCTCTGCCTCCGCCTCGAGTGAGCCTCGTCTCGCTCTTCGTCTACTCGAGCCTCGTCTCGTGTGCCGCCTCGTGGGGCGGCGTGGCGTGGCGGGCGGCCGTCTGTGCCGCCGCCTCGTGTGAGCCTCGTCTCGCTCTTCGTCTACTCGAGCCTCGTCTCGTGTGCCGCCTCGTGGGCGGCGTGGCGTGGCGGGCGGCCGTCTGTGCCGCCGCCTCGTGTGAGCCTCGTCTCGCTCTTCGTCTACTCGAGCCTCGTCTCGTGTGCCGCCTCGTGGGCGGCGTGGCGTGGCGGGCGGCTGTCTCTGCCGCCGCCTCGAGTGAGCCTCGTCTCGCTCTTCGTCTACTCGAGCCTCGCCTCGTCTGCCGCCTCGTGGGCGGCGTGGCGTGGCGGGCGGCCGTCTCTGCCGCCGCCTCGAGTGAGCCTCGTCTCGCTCTTCGTCTACCCGAGCCTCGTCTCGTGTGCCGCCTCTTGGGCGGCGTGGCGGGCGGGCGGCTGTCTCTGCTGCCGCCTTGAGTGAGCCTCGTCTCGCTCTTCGTCTACTCGAGCCTCGTCTCGTGTGCCGCCTCGTGGGCGGCGTGGCGTGAAGGTAGGCTTCACGCTGGGGTCGCTCCTCGTCACGAGCGCATCTGCCCCTCTTCTGGCTTCATTGGGATGCGAGGTCCGTCTGCACCCGCTCCCTCCACTCTGCGTTGGGATGTCAGGTACTGCGTAGCTCTTCCGTTGTGGAGGCACGCGACTCCAGACTGACCCTTTACGCCCCAATGTACCTCACGGTGCAGATGCTTGGGTCATGTGGAGAAGCCGAGATAAACTAGTCCGCCGATAACGATTGGGGTGGGGGCCCCAACTCGTGGTAGGCCACTAGTTTATCGTAGGGTACTCACGGATACCTCTCCTGAGTCCCTCTCATGTGCCCTCGCGCACATCGCATGCGGTCTTCACTCAGCCTCCGCTGCTGTGAACACCAAACTTGCACTTCAGCTGGTGCGCGCTTTCGCCGCCTACTTTCGCGAGCGCGCTTGGCCCTTGCTCCTCATGGGCGGCACTCTCGCTGCGCTCTCTCCCTGCTCATGGGACCTGATGCCGCGCCACCTCTGTGGCCGCTCCATCCTCTCTGACGGCGCCAGCCCTCCGGCTGCGCCATCTCTCTTTGGTTGGCACAGAATCTGTGTCTGCGCCATTCTTGCTGTCGCTGGCGACTGTTTCTGGGCAGCAGTACACGATGGGCGGCGGCCTCGTCTGCCGCGCTTGTGGCGCTCTCGTGGTCGCCTCAGCTCTGCCTCGAATGGAGGCTCAAACGCAGCGCAGGGCTCAGACCAAGTGCAAGTCGATTTGTACCAAAGTTGGTAGACAGTGCCAAAACCGCGGAACCGAAAATGGCGTTTAATTTCGCGCACCTGCTGTCCGCCGCCTGCGGCGGCGCTCCGCACCGCTTGAGGCGCCTGCGGCGCCCCTGGCGGCGCGCTGTCCGCGCGCCCCTCTATGGTTTTCGTGGGGGGCTCGGCTCGTAAGTCTCGATTTGTACCGGATTTCGACGTTAGTGGCAAAACTGCGGAACCGAAAATGGCGTTTAATTTTGCGCACCTGCTGTCCGCCGCCTGCGGCGGCGCTCCGCGCCGCTTGGGGCGCCTGCGGCGCCCCCCTGGCAGGTGGCAGCAGTGTGTACGGCTGCGGGTGTGCGCCCCCGGTACACAACCGGCGCTCTATGGCGTGCTCCGGGGGAGCACGACTACGCAGTCGTGGCTTCCACACGCGAGAGAGTGGCTTCTATATTTACGAAAACATTGGGCGTCCCTAGTGCCGCATCCATAAGAAGTGACGTCACGGTTCCAGGAGCGCTGGCCACGACTATCGAGTCGCCGTCGCGGAGCTGAGGGCTGGCCGACGGGTGGCGCGGTCTTCCTCCCAGCGCCACCCATCGGTCAGCCCTCAGATCGATCGATCGGCGCTCAAAGTCGCTTCAGATCCGAGAAAGCTGCTGGCGCCGCTGCCGATCCCAGCCGCGACGCCAGCAGCTTCCTCTGCTCTCCAATGCGCCGAGAAGCGATGCGGCGGTGCTCGGCTCGCCATGCACGATGACGGCTCCGCTGGGTGCTCGTCGGCCGGTCCGGTGGCACCCTATTCGCGCGTCACCTGCCGGCGTCCCGACGACAGCCTCGCGCCGCCGCTGATGGAGGGGCGGTCGGCGCCGCTGCCGCCGCGCCGCCGGTGGGAGAGGCACTGGTGGTGGCCTGGGCGGCCCTCCGCCGCCGCTCGGCGCGCCCGGGCAGCGGTGGCAGCCTGCGCCGCCACAGCTTCGAGGGGGCGCCCCCAGCTTCGAGCGGGCGCCCGGGACGGGTTCCCCGCTTCGAGCGGGGAGATGGCCGGGGATTCGCTTTCTGAAATGTCTGCCTCCAAAGGGGAAACGCCCAACCTGATCTCAGAATCACTCAGTAGCACAGGCGGCACCCGACTCCAAGGATACACTGAAGACGCTGAGGATAGCGCATGTCGCTGCGCTGAAGGGCTCACGCTATGGGGTGCTGGATGAGGACGGGTACGATGCACTAGCCCCAGCCGTCGGGGGGGTGTTGCCAGCGCTGGTAGATGATCTCTCGGAGAAGAGTCGGAGGGACCTTGGCGCCGGGGTTACGAGGAACTTGCAAGTCGTGGCCGAGGCGGCGACGGGAGCGGTGCAGAGGTGGATCCAGCTCAACGATGAGGCTACCGCGCGCATAATGAAGAGAGAGGAACACATTGAGTGGCTGAGGAAGCTCTTCGCAGGGTGGAAGGAGGCCCGGTCAGCCTTGAGGGAGTCGCGGAGGAGGAGGGATAACAGAGGTAACGAGGGGACAGGCCAACAGCCAGTGGGACGAACGAGGGACGCGACGGCGGCCCAAGCGGGAGGGAGCGGAGACAGTCGGCAGCGAGCGAAGTGGGTGAGACTGATGATGCTCCTTCGACTTAGGGAGCGGTTCAGCTGCTGGGCGGGCTTCAGGCTGGTGCTCACGCGAAAAGGAATCGACGCGATGTACAAAGCATACAACAAGAGGAGAAAGAAGAGGACGGACATCAGTGATGACGAAACAGAAGCTAGCGCAGACGAGGGCAGGGCAGACCCGGGGACGGCGGAGTCGGAGCAGACGGCATCGGCTGCCGAGGAAACGTTGGGAAGAGGCACGAGGAGGGCGGCGACCTCAACCGACTATGGAGGACCCGTCACCAGACGACGCAGGGCGGACGACGGGGAGGCGGAGCAGACGCGCAGGGCGAGACGAGGGAGGGAGCAGGATGTTGCGGAGATCAGCAGGAGGATGTACGACGAGATTAGGAGCAGCAGGGACCCGAGGGACCATGTGGAAGACGGCTAGTGCTAGTCCCCCATCGGGAGGACGACCCCGGCTAGTCGCCGACCACACCCACAAAGAACCCTGCACAAAGACCGCAGGGCGGGGACCTGTTCCTTTTTACCCATCTCCTAGTAGAGGTGTCCGTTTTATTTATTTATTTATTCTCGCGTTGAGAAAGTGAAAGAGGTCGGGACGCGTCTGTCCTCGACCCACCCATAACTTTTTTTCCCCTTTTTCGAAGAAAAACGCCAAACGTTGGCGCGAAAGTTGCTTCTCACGCTCGCGCGAAACACTCGCAATATGTCTCCAAGTAGAGCCGTACTCGAAAGATTCTCCGGTCTCGTACACACGCTCCTCCTCAGGACTAACAGGAGGAGGAGCTCCAGCCGCAGCGCCGGCGGTTTCAATCACGCCTGTCACTCTACAAGCGGCGCAAAATCGCCCTCGAACTCCTCGAGGTCGCGCTGGCGCGCCGCGCCGCCCGGGCCGTAAGAGCCGAGCCTGATGTTGGCTCGCTCCAGCCAGAGGACAAGGCCGGGGCGGCAGCGCTTGTAGGCCAGAGCCCCGGCCACCGCCTCGTACCAGCGCTGCAGGTCGCGCATCCTCTTGGGAGGGAGGCGGAGAACGGTGGTGGCGGGCGGGAAGGCGGCGTAGCCGACGGTTGCGGTGTCTGGCACGGTGACGCGGGTGAGCGGGCAGTCGCGGAAGGCGCCGTGGCCGATGGAGGTGAGGGTGGTTGGCACGGTGACGCGGGTCATGGAGGGGCAGGCGCAGAAGGCGTAGACTCCGATGGAGGTGAGACCGGCAGGGAAGGTGACGGAGGCGAGAGAGGTGCAACCATTGTAGGCGTTGTCGCCGATGGAGGTGAGGCCGGCGGGGAAGGCGACGTGGGCGAGGGAGGAGCAGCCGCGGAAAGCATGGGGGCGGATGGAGGTGAGGCTGGCGGGGAGGTCGACGGAGACGAGCGAGGTGCAACGGTAGAAGGCGCCGTCGCCGATGGAGGCGAGGCTGCGCGGAAAGGCAACCGAGACGAGAGAGGTGCGGAGCTGAAACGTCCCGTCTGGCAAGTGCGTCATGCCTTTGGGCAGGACCGCGTGCCCGTCGGTGACGACGACCTGCCAGCCGCCCACGTCCAAAGTCTCGGAGCTGGCGGCGTTGCTTGGCGGCGGCGCAGACGTCGAGGACACCATCGTGGAAACAAAGAAATCGCCGCATCCAGCCAGAGGAAGGAGGACGGCGTGCCGTTCTCCCATCCCTCCCTTGGGTTGTCTTTTCTTTCTTTCTGGAGGACGGGGAAGATGACTCCGAGGAGGACGAACCAGTGGAAATCCAGTTGTCAGATGTCACGATGCATCCGAAGGGGACCCCAGCGCCGGCATCATCCGTAGAGGCACGAGTGTTCGAAGAGAGAGTGGACCTGAGCAACAACATGACCTGGAGGCAAATGATCGGAGTGGGAGTCAGAAGACTCGTCCTTGCGCGAGGGGAGCTCGATAGACTCGAGGGGCCAGGACGTCTACTTCCTGCGCACCATGCCGCCGTCCATGACCATCGAGGCGGCGCAGGAGCACGACCGGCTCATCGCCTCGGCCTTCCACCGCATCGTCGGCTCCGAGGCGGGCTCGCCGGCGCAGTGCGAGCGTGCGCTGCGGCAGGCGCGCCTCCCGGTCAAGCTCGGCGGGCTCGGCCTCACCTCCATGGCCTCACCTCTGGCACTCCTCGCACTCGCGTTGCTCGAGCCTGAGCCACTGCGCCTTGAGCTTGACCACGAGATAGCGAGGAGTGCCAGAAAGAACGATCCAGAGCGCGCCGACGGTGCCGATTCCGCCGAGACCGCCGCTCGGCGCTCGCGGTGCCCACACCATCGGGACCGGTCCGGAGCAGCCAGCGATTGGAGCCGAATCGCCAGATTCGACCGCGATCTGGCCCTGGAGCGCCGCGGAGTCGAGCGTGACGACGGGATACGCGCGCTTTTTTAGCTCAATTTCTGTCCAATCGTTCGCGCCCAGACTCCCATCCATCGAGGACACATGAGTAGCCTACGACTGACCCGTCTCCGGCCGTGTCTATGCGTTGGGGATTTTATATGTAGGTGTGGGTAATTTTATATGTAGGTGTGGGTAATTTTATATGTAGGTGTGGGTAATTTATATACTTACTTATCTAATTTACTTAGAGGTCCATTGAAGTCGTCCGCGGCGCCGTCCCGAAGCAGCAGCCGCGGGAGCGGGAGCGGGGAAGCTCGTACTCGGCCCGACGCGATAATGTTGACAATGCAATGCCAACTGTGCGTACAATGACTTGTACACACATCACCTGGGTCGTGATGGTCCATATGAAGGACAGACAGAGTCACGCACATCGCCTACACGGTCTGAGGGTGGTGAGGACTGATACATGCCCGGGTCGGGTTGAGTGCGCTCGGAGAAGAACAAAGTGTGAACTATGGGCCAAATGCGCTGGTCAAGGGGACAAGAGGAGTTGTGTGTGACAGGGCTGCCTGGAGCAGCCCCAACCAAGCTGGAGGCCTTCGTCCACAGAGACCCGTCAAGGAGCGTCTTCTAGCATTGTCTGCACCACTGTCACGGATCACGCAAGGCCGCTACGGAGACGAGCAGCTCCGAATCCGCGGCAATCTTCATGCATCCAGGCGTCACAGTCAATAACAGTGGTCTAGCCACCGCCATGCACAGCTTGACGTCGATGTCTCCAGGCTGGAGTGCCTGTATCCTTTGTTACGCCGCTCGGAGGTCTGATGGAGCCGCAGAACACCTGGGGCTGTGAGGGCGTCAGGCGGTGCCGCAGATAGACTTCTACCTCATAGCGCGCACCGATCTATCCGTGCCGAGCCCTGGCCGCCGCCAGCGGACGGTCGGTGCTCTACCAGCAAGGTCACCTACAGGGCACATTGTTGGACTTTGGCGGCCGATTTGCGCTCGAGCCGCCGCGCGGGAATCAGCACCGGCAGGCAGCGAGAGCACGACTGGCGACCGAGAGCCAGCAGTGCTGCGCCGACACATGCCGGTAAAAGAGGCTCGGTGCGCAGGGGCCGCAGGGCGAGGGTGGTCAGTTTTGCGGCGAGACGTGTGGGGCGAGAAGCTTTCGCCCCTCCCAGGACGCACCTCCGACGCGCTCCCATGCCGCCGGCCAAGCGCGCCAAAGTCACGGGCTGTGGTGAAGGCCCGCCGCCCGCCGTCACGATCGAGATCGATCCCAAGGACGACGATGACGAAAGCTACGAAGACGACGACGACGACCCGCTCGGACACCGGGGCGACTATGAGTGCACCCGCCACTTTGGAGCGAAGATCCTGGTCAATGGGGCTCCGGCGGGGTCGCTTTCCGCGGTACTCGTCAATCGCAGCATGGCCGGCTCGTGCTTCCACAGCGCGTGCGACGCGGAGAGCGGCGAGCTCCAGGAGATCGGCTGCCTCTTCTTTGGCAGCAGTGGCCAGCCCCGCTACACCGCTCTCAAGAGCGACGCGAGCGCGAAGCGCGGTGGCTTCCTCTACCTTGCGACGTTCGAGATCTCGGCAGAGCATCGCGTCAACGGCGCCACCGACATCGGTTCCGCAGCCATCAAGGCCCTCCTTTCGTGCGCGGAGGTGTCGGGTCGTTGGAGCGTCGCTGCGTACATTGCCGACAGCTCGGCGAGCCTGACTCCGGCAGAGAAGTCACAGGATCGGGCGGAGGCGATGGAGCGCATGCATGCGCAGATGGGGCGGGGGGCGCACATGGAGACTCCCGCGGACAGGGCCGCGCGCGTCGCCAAGATCCACGCCCGCATGGCCGCGGACTGCCGGCAGTTTCTTCGGGCCGGCTTCGCGGAGGCCAAGCACAAGGACGGCGGCTGGCTGTACATCACCAAGGATATGCTACGCCGCGCGCCGCCCATGTCGCACGAGGCCGCGCTTGCCGTGCCGCTGCGCCTCACGCCCGCGGCCGGTGGCCCGGGCGCGTCAGCCTCCGCCTCGGCCTCTGGCACCAAGACGGCCGAGGATGAACGGCTGCTCCGCGCCCTCATCAAGAGCTCGTCCGAGAAGCAGACCGCCGCGTCGCAGCTTGCGCAGATCGACGCCGCCGTGGCGGGGGGCGCCGACCTCACTCGCGCGGCGGTCTTGCAGTGCTGCGCGGCGAACGGCACGACAGAGCTGATCCAGCCGCTCCTCGCGCGCGGCGCCGACATCAACTCCGAAGACGAGCACGGCTGCACGCCGCTGATGATCGCTGCGCAGGGCGCGCTCCGGAAGCTGTCGCTCCACCAGCGGACGCACGACTCGAGCATGATCTCCCACCTGCTCGCCCTCGGCGCGGACAAGGGCGCCACAGACCCCGACGGCTGCTCGGCGCTCGGGCACTACTACAAGGCGGTGTGCAGCATGAACGACTTCAACGCGGCGCTCATCGGCGGCCCGAAGGCGGTCGTGGACCAGACGGTCGTGGCGATGCTCACCCCGGCGGGCGGCCCGACCACGGCCGACAAGGAATGTGCCGACGACCACTGATCACTGAAACATGAAAGGGTGGGAGGGGGGCGTGGTGGTGGGTGGTGCTGGGCGGGTGGGTGGGGGGTCCCGGGGGCGGCTTAGGCGTAGGGGTGGCTAGGGGTGTGCGCAGGGGGCCGGCCGGTCGCTCCGGTCGGATGTGTGGGGACGCCCCGGAGCGGCCGCGGCGGGGCGCGCGACGCCCCGCCTACCGCCCCCTAAACCCCCGCTCTCTCGACCCCGCCCAGCCCGACGGCGAGTGGCTGATGACGTACCACGCCCTGCAGCCGCCGGGGACGGGCGGAGCGGAGGGGCCAAGGTGGGCGGTGGGCGCCGCGCGCTCGACGGCGGGCCATGCGCTTGGGCCGTATGAGAAGGCGGGCGACGGCCCGGTCCTGTGCGGCGGAGGCCCGGGCTCGTGGGACGAGAGCGGGATTGGCACGCGCCACGTGGTCCACGCACCGGACGGCCAGGGTGGGCTGGTGATGGTGTACGAGGGCGTGGGCGGCGACGGACGCCATCGCCTCGGCCTCGCCACCTCCGTCGACGGCCTGGCCTGGACCAAGGTCGAGGGCGTCGGTCCCGAGCCCGGCGGCCCGATTTTCGAAGGGGCGCCCAAGGAGAGCGACGGGCGTGGGATAACGGGAACGTGGGGACGCCATGGGTCACCCAGCTCCCTGGCAGCGGTCGGTGGAGGCTCTACTATGTCGGCACGTCTGACAAGGGACGCTCGGTGGCCATCGGCTGTGCTGAGTCGGATGAGCTCCTCTCGTCCACGTGGGAGCGGGTGAAGGCCACGAGCTGATGTGCGAGCGCGCCGGGTAATACGATATCGACAATACGTGTCACACTTAGTTAGTGTAGCACGCTCGCGCAAAAGAACAAGGATTGTTTTGAGATTGTGTGTACGCATGCCCAACAGAACGCTTGTCATGTGCGATGACAAGAGCGGCCATTCCCATTTGGACAGAGTGCTTGGCGGTCCTCTCACGAACGAGCACGCTGTGACGTTTCGTCTTTCGACCACGCGCTGGGGACGCGAACCCACGCGATTGACAAAAGATGCTACCAGTTCACAGCCTTGTTGTTGAGAAGAAAATACGTCCTATGGCGCTGTGCGCTGGTCTGTGAGCTCGAGGGGCTCCGAGAGTGGGAGGGATGTTAGAGGGATGTTAGATATCGCGCCCAGCTCGAATCTGTCACGTTCCTGTGGGTACCGAGCCACGCGGGGTGCGCTAGCAACGCCTACGCCGACGCCGCGGCGACGGCATACATGGGGGCCAGCGAGATTGAGGATGCCACAGCGGTCATTGTTTCGGGGAGCGGTGAGGACACGCCCGTGCCTATACACGGACCGCCGGAGGACGGCAGACAGAGAGTGGCTGGGGGCGGGAGGTACTGGACCGGAGGACCTATTACGCCACACGCGGCCACACGAGCGAGTGGGTGCGAGGACGGCTCGGCGAGGGGCTCACGGTGGGGTCGCACACGGCAGGGGTGACGGGGCCGCTGTGGAGCGATGTGGTCAGGGGAACGACGAAACACAAATGGGACAAGCGCCAGCGGATCAAGGATCAGCACGGCGAGCGCGAGATTGAATTCGCCGACGTGGATGATCACAACGTGGTGACAAAGACAGTCATGGGAGCGCGTGTGCGGCAGCAGGCGGGGGTGCCACACAGAGCGCACCACAAGAGGATTATGCGGGGAGAGGCGGGGAGAGAGACCCCGGGCGCCGCCACGAGGAGCGAACTCAGGGGCTGCCTCGTGTCGTCTGTAAGGCCGCGAGGGACGCGGCGAGGAGGGCGGCACTAGAGACCCGCTGTGTCCGATCGTGCGGAAAGCCGCGCAGCAATGGACCGAGGAAGATGAGAACCCGCCTAGAGCGACAATGGCGCACGTGCTTAGCGGCGCCTGCCTGGGGAATAGGGAGCAGGCCAGATGGTTCCTCAGGGTAGCGCGAGCGCAGACGGGGACGGCGATCAGCAAAGTAGCCCAGGCGGCACCCGACTCCAAGGATACGCTGAAGCCGCTGAGGATAGCGCATGTCGCTGCGCTGAAGGGCTCACGCTATAGGGTGCTGGATGAGGACGGGTACGATGCACTAGCCCGAGCCGTCGGGGGGGTGCTGCCGGCGCTGGTAGATGATCTCTCGGAGAAGAGCCGGAGGGACCTTGGCGCCGGGGTCACGAGGAACTTGCAAGTCGTGGCCGAGGCGGCGACGGGAGCGGTGCAGAGGTGGATCCAGCTCAATGATGAGGCTACGGCGCGCATAATGAAGAGAGAGGAACACATCGAGTGGCTGAGGAAGCTCTTCACTGGGTGGAAAGAGGCTCGGCCGGCCTTGAGGGAGTCGCGGAGGAGGAGGGAAACGCAGGCAACGCAGGGACGGGCCAACAGCCAGTGGGACGAACGAGGGCCGCGACGGCAGCTCAAGCGGGAGGGAGCGGAGACAGTGGGCAGCGAGCGAAGTGGGTGAGACTGATGATGCTGCTTCGACTTAGGGAGCGGTTCCGCTGCTGGGCGAGCTTCAGGGTGGTGCTCACGCGAAAAGGAATCGACGCGATGTACAAAGCATACAAGAAGGGGAGAAGGAAGAGGAGAGACGCCGGTGGTGACGAAGCGGAAACTAGCGCAGACGAGAGCAGGGCAGACCCGGGGACTGGGGAGCCGGAGCGGACGGCATCAGCCGCCGAGGGAACGTTGGGAAGAGGCGCGAGGAGGGCGGCGACCTCGACCGACTATGGAGGACCCGTCGCCAGACGACGCAGGGCAGAAGACGGTGAGGCGGAGCAGACGTGCAGGGCGAGACGAGGGAGGGAGCAGGACTTTGCGGAGATCAGCAGGAGGATGTACGAAGAGATTAGGAGCAGCAGGGACCCGAGGGACCATGTGGAAGACGGCTAGTGCTAGTCCCCCATCGGAGAGGACGACCCCGGCTAGTCGCCGACCACACCCACAAAGAACCCTGCACAAAGATCGCAAGGGCGGGGACCTGTTCCTTTTTACCCACCTCACAGAGAGTAGAGAGGTGTCCGTTTTTATTTATTTATTTATGGTCTGTGAGTGGTTGAGGCGCGAGCCCTGGAGGCCCTGGGGATGGGGGGAGACTACCCGCGGGCTTAGAAGGCCCGCGCGCAGGGGGGGGGGGGGGGGGCATTGAGACCGGTCATGAATGAGTGCGCGACACGCATGTTGCGAGCAGCGTTGTTGATGTTTTGCGCATCGCCACAGACGGCGGCGCGCGAGAGCTGTTGCGAGTGGTGCTGGGCGAAGCCCCGGGCGCTGCCGGAGGCTGTGCCGTAGAGCGTAGTCGGTGCGGTCGACGGCGCTCGGGCTGCCGACCTCTTTGGCGAAGTTGAAGATGATTCTCTTGGTCGGCGGCGCGATGCCGCCCTGGCTTTCGACGAGACAAATTTTGACGATTCCGTTCTTGACATGGCGCGTCGGAGTACTGGTCCCTTGTGCTCTTTGACCCATCCTTTGCCGGTCGCACGGACGAGCGGGCCCTGTGACTTGTGGCCGCGCTCTTTACACCCAAGAACCTTGAGCAAGGTTTGGTCGAGGGTGCCGCCGAAACCAAATTTGTGGCCCAGTGAAGCACAGCATCCGCCGTGTGCCGCCGAGCCCTGCCCAGCTTGCCTGGTCTTTGTGAGGGCGCTGGCACCTTGACTTCGTAGTGGACACCGCGCTGGGACTGCAGGTCCCCCCGGCCGCCGATCTCACACATGTCGGTGACGTGCCCCTCATTGAGATGAAAAGTCGTCTGAGGGTTCGCCTTGTCACCGAGCACGAGCTTGCCGCAGGCTCGTGCACGGACCATGTTGGCCGCCGCATACATGGTGCCGCTGTGACGAATGTTGTGCTCGCACGGAATGTCCTTCGATCCGTTTGCAAGCTGGTCGCCCTTCCGAATACCGATGGTGACTGTCCTCACCAGCCGCCTCCTTGCGGTCGCAGGAAATGTAGTAGCCGTGGCGGCGCTGCAGCGCCGTCGCAAAAAACTCGGAGGTGATTTTGGAGGAGTGCCGGCCGTCGGGGCAGAGGTCAAGCCACGCTCCCGAGGCGAACTGAGAGACGGCGATGAAGCGTGACGCCTCCCGATGTTTGACGCCGTCGGGGTCGTCCATCTCAGCATCCAGCCGCTCACAGGCGGCGAGGCAGCGAAGCCACCGCTCGTGCGACGCAATCTGAGCGAGCGTGCCCTGTTTAGGGACTGGAGAAGTGCTCTGCTCAGAGTAGAGGTCGGAGACGGGCGGCATCTTGCTAACGAGCGGGAGGCCGGCCGGACGGTAGTACCCAAGGTTGTAGCTGTTGACCATCCCAAAGTCGACATGCTTGGCCCGGGCGCGGTAGACGCCCCAGAGCTTGATGCAGCGGTCGCGGATGGAATTGTAATATTTATTGAAGTAGACGAGCAGAGGTATACCTCGCAGCTGCAGGCAGGTTGTCGCGCCGCATGAGAAGTCTCAGGAGGGTGGCAGACTAGCCTTGCCTTCCACTGGCGATCTCTCTCGACTAGCGACCTTCCTCCGGCTTCTCACCAGCAGTCTCTCACTACCACGGGCACACTGACAGAGGCGGCAGGGATGGCGTGCCTGTGTGGGCTAAAATTCTTTTTACTTCGTTACGACACAGACATGCCGCCGCCGAGCGACACCACACCGCCGCCCGGCTCCGAGACTTTGGACGTGGGCGGCTGGCAGATCGTCGTCGCCGACGGGCACGCGGTGCTTCCCGACGGCATGACACACCTGCCGGACTGGGCGTTCCGCGCCTTCAGCCGCTGCTCCGCCCTCTCCTCCGTCAACCTCCCCGCCGGCCTCACCTCCATCGGCGACGGCGCCTTCTACCGCTGCACCTCCATCCGCTCCATCGCCCTCCCCGACAGCCTCACCTCCATCGGCGACGGCGCCTTCGCCCACTGCTCCGCCCTCTCCTCCATCAACCTCCCCGCCGGCCTCACCTCCATCGGCAGCCTCGCCTTCTACGACTGCTCCGCCCTCTCCTCCGTCAACCTCCCCGCCGGCCTCACCTCCATCGGCAGATGGGCCTTCGCCGACTGCTCCGCCCTCGCCTCCGTCAACCTCCCCGCCAGCCTCACCTCCATCGGCCAGCAAGCCTTCGACGGCTGCTCCGCCCTCGCCCGTGTCGCCTTCCCCGCCGGCCTCACCTCCATCGGCTTCTGCGCCTTCGCCGACTGCTCCGCCCTCTCCTCCGTCAACCTCCCCGGTCGCCTCAGATCCATCGGCGACTTAGCCTTCTGCCGCTGTTCCTCCCTCGCCTCCATCAGCCTGCCCGCCGGCCTCACCTCCATCGGTTGGCACGCCTTCTCGAGCTGCTCCGCCCTCGCCCACGTCACGGTACCAACCACCGCGAAGTTCGACGCCTCCGCCTTTTTCACCGACACCGTCGTCCTCCGCCTCCCGCCGGCAAAGATGCGCACACTCCAGCGCTGGTACGAGGCGGTGGACCTGGTTCTCGCCCACAAGCGCTGCCGCCCCAGCCTGCTCGGCTTTCTAGAGCGGGCTCGGAGCAGGCTCGCCTCGAAAGGCTCGGGTGGCGCGGCGCGCAAGCGCGATCGCGAGGAGTTCGAGGGCGACTTTGCGGAGGCGGCGGCGGTGATGGAGCCGCCGGTTGAGCGCGACCGCGCGACCACCGACCGTAAGCTGGGGGCGGGCTCCTTCGACCGCGGCTGGCGCATCCGCGAGCACTACCGCGGCGGCGCCAAGAGCGGGCTGTGGAGCTACGTGAGCCCGACGGGCGACGCTTTCAGCGTGGCGCTAGAGGCTGCTGAGGCGATAGAGGACGAGGCGGTGGCGGCGGCGGCGGCGGCGGCAATGGCGGCTGCGGAGGCGCCTCAGATGGAGGGGAGTGCAGCGATCGCGGCGGCAGATGCCGTGGTGGCAGAGGTGTCGCCGCTGCCTGCTCGCCCGTCCCGAACCCTGCCCGCGCCCCTCCCACACCACCACACCCGACGCTTGTCCTTCTCCCGCCCGCTCAGGCGCCGTCGAGGCCTTCGCCCGCGCCGAGCAGCAGCAAGAAGCGGGGCGGCGCCAGCGAGCGGAAGAAGCCGCGCTCCCCACACCGTTCCCCGCACCTCGGCTGGTCTCCAATCACAGAGGAGCAGCGCACCTCTCTCCGCGAGGAGGAGGAGGGGTGGCTCGGCGAGTTCGAGGCGTACTTTCGCGGCAAGCTCTCCCACAAGAACGCGCAGCAAGTGATGAAGCACCTCACGCCCCTCGTCGCTGGCAAAGGCGTCAATTTCGGACCGGGCGTCGGCAACTTTCTCGCCGGCATCCCCGTCACTCTCTCCTCGGACGTCGCCAATATCCTCGACGCGCTGCACGCCGAGGGGAACGCCGCCGTGCGCGACCACGACGATTTAAAGGGTGGCTGGCACCTCCGCCACCCGCTCTACAAGCTGCGCGAGTTCCAGGCGCACAAGCTCGGCATGTGAGCGCCGCATTGGGCCGTTGGCTGTAACCCATTCGCATGTGGTTCTATATCTCTATTGCTCGCTCGCATAGGGGCGGCGCCAGGGGCGGTCGCAACGGCGGCGGTCGCAACGCCACGCAAGCCGCCGCGCGACCCCGTGTCGCGACCGATTGGCTCAAGGCCCCCTCCACCGCAGACTCCGCCGTCGCCGCCGCCGTCAACGCGCCCGCCACCGCCATTACCGCTCCACCTTTGGCGACGGCAACGCAGCAGGGCAGCGGCGACGCGGAGCGAAGACAGAGCGAGCTCGCGCCGCCGCAGTCGCTGATGCCGCCCCCGCCACCGCCGACGCTCGACGTTGCCGGCCAGAGAGCTCGCCCGCGGCGCCACGCAGCCGCGGTAGCGGATCAGAACAGGGCCGATATGCAGGCGATGGAACAGCGCAGCGATGAGGCGTGGCGCGTGAGGAGGCTCAGCCCCGAGTCCATCACTAGGACGGCGGAGGTGCTCGGCAGAGGCGCCCACGGCGTCGTCTACAAGGGCAGCTTGCGGCGCCGTATTCACGGGCTAAAGGCAGGGACGCCGATCGCACTCAAGAGGGAGAACACTCGCAGCTCTGAGTTCCACGACGAGGCGCGCTTGCTCAACCACTGCCAGAGTGAGTACGTGCTAAAGGTGTTCGGCACCTACGAGGACAGCGACCGCCACATGATCATGGTCACCGAGCTCTGCGAGCGTCGCTCAATCGCGGACGTGTTCGAGTCCGACGACTGTAGCTGCAGTGTGCTCCCGGCCCACGCGCTCTCCTTCATGCGGCAGATCGCGGAGGCGATGAAGCACTTACACATGCTCGGTATCACGCACCGCGACCTCAAGCCCGACAACGTGATGGTGCACGCGGACCTGAGCATCCGGCTCGGCGATTTTGGCCAGGCGCGCCAGGAGGCGAACATGATGAGCAATATGCCAGGGTCGGCATACTACATGGCTCCGGAGGCTCTCCAGGGTGTTGACTACCGTAAATGCGCCGACGTGTACTCGTACGCCATCACGTGCTGGGAGATCCTGGAGCCGAGCCACACGAACGCTTGGCCGAGGGGCCGAAGGGCCCAAGGGCCCAAGGACCGTCCATCACTCTTAACGATCCAGGCGGATGCGCACGAGCTGCTTCGGCGGTGCTGGCATGAGAGCCCTGCAGGGCGCCCCTCCTTTGCGGCTCTACTTGTTCCTGGCGGGTTGCTCAACCAGCTACTGCAGTCCCAGTAGCCAGTTGCCATACCCGCTCCAGGGCGGTCGGTGCAGTGACACTGAGTGGTTGTGGCGCGCAGGCCCTTTTCTCGTGAACGTCCCACGCGGTTTTTGAGTATTGAGATATTGGTCGGCTCGTGGTACGTACGGCTTTACTGCATACTGCTTCTGGGTCCACACGTGAGTCATGACCACATGTCCATGCACATATGTGCTGTAATGTGACAGAGAGTGAGAGAATGAGAGAGCGTAGAGATAGCGAACGCGGCGGTGGCCTTCATGCGAAAACGTCCGAGACAGTACACAAAACACTAAACAGCCAGAAGCAGCGGAACTGCCCCAACTCGTGCGGTCACGCCCCGCGCCTATGCCAAGACGCAGCTGCAGCCCTCCTTGGCGCCGGCCGCGCCCTCCTGCTGCGCGTCCGCTGCGGCGGGCAGAGCGGCGAGCGCCGTCTCGAGCACCGGCACGACTTGCGCGAAGTCTGGGCGCTGAGACGGGGAGGTCGACCAGCAGGCCGAGAGGAGCGCCGCCACGTCGGGGATGGCCTGTTCACGGCCGCGAGCTGTGAAGAGACGCTGTTCACAGCAGGCCGAGAGGAGCCCCCCCCCCCCTCGGGGATGGCCTGTTCACGGCCGCGAGCTGTGAAGAGACGCTGTTCACAGCAGGCCGAGAGGAGCGCCGCCCCGTCGGGGATGGCCTTGATAGCAGCGGGCAGCTGGCAACGGTGCCCGCCGTTGCAGACCTGCGAGATGTAGGCCTGCGCGTCCATCGCATAGTACAGCTTCTTGTGCGCCGCCATCTCGTAGAGAAGCGACGCCCACGAGAAGACGTCCGCCGTGTGGCTTGCAGAGCGCGACCTGAAGCGCTTATGTCTGCGGTGAAGCCTTTCCCCCTGAGAACGCACACACCGCCCTCGTGTGCGATTCCCGGTGTGTGTGCTCCGCGAGTGCGTGTGCCCCCCGTCCGCGCTAGGACGTACCTCGGGCGCCATGTAGCGGAGCGAGCCTGTCTGGCCAGTCATCCTTCGGCCGTCGCTGGGCCCGTCGCGCAGCTGCCTCAGGCGAGAGGTCGGCGTCAAGAGCCACCTGAGCCGTCTTGCCCGCCGCCTCGCCGGCCGCAGCTGCCCCCGCGGGCGACTTGCCGGCGTGATTGCGTCGCCTGCCGCCTTGCCCGCCGCATCCGCCGCATCCACCGCATCGGGTGACAAGCCGTCATCGAGCACCTTCTGAGCCGCCTTACCGGCAGCATCTCCTGCAGCAGCCGCCACTTCGGGGCTCTTACCGGCGATGATCGCGTCGCCCGCCGACTCACCTGCCGCCTCGGCAGCATCCCGCGACAGGCCGTCGTCGAGCGCCTTCTGGGCCGCCTCGCCGGCAGCCTCCCCCGCGGCGGCTGCCTCCTCGGGCGACTTGCCCGCAAGAATGGCCTCGCCTGCAGCCTCGCCTGCAGCTCTGGCCGCATCCGGCGCAGGCCATCGTCGAGCGCCTTCTGGGCCGCCCTGCCAGCCGCCTCGCCAGCCTCAGCTGCCTCCTCTGGCGACTTGCCGGCGATGATCGCGTCGCCTGCCGCTTTTCCCGCAGCGGCGGCGGCATCGGGCGACAAGCCGTCGTCGAGCGCGGGCAAAAGAACCGCTAGGGGGAAGCCGTCGACTTTTGCCAGAGCATTTGCGACCTCCTCAAAGGCATCCGCGTCGGTGAGAGAGGGATTGTTGACGTTGTCGATCACGACTGTGACCTGCGTGCACATTGCGAGTGTGTGTGTGTGTGTGTGTGCGCGCGCGTGTGCAATCTCGGCCTCCCAGGCATCTCCTCCCGTGTTCTTGTGTCGGCGCTCTAGCGGTTGGCCAAGCTGTGCGCTGATCGCCAGGTTTGCGGCAGACACGATCTCCTTCACGTCAACACAGTCGCTGCTTGTGACTTGCCTGACCGCCAGCAACGAAGTGTCTGCGACGGGTTGTGCAAATTCTGGCCCCTCGCTGTACGAGTATACGCGCGTGATGATCAGGCTGTGGGTCACGATCTCGGAGCCACAGTCAGCAGTCTGCAGGCGCCGCCCAGCCCCCAGGGGCGGCGGGCTCAGGGGCGGAGGCAGCGACGGTCCGAGGGCGGGGGGCTCAGGGGCGGCGGCCCCGCAACGCTGCTCGAGTTGTACGGCACAACTGTGATATTTCAGAGCGTCGTGCCGTTGCACGCGACGGCCCGCCGTTGGAGCTCTGCAGAACCTCGATGAGGGTGTGCGAGTCAGAGGTGGTCTGCATCTCCAACTGGGTCGAGTCGCGGACGCTCATCTCAATCGCGGTGCTGGCGTTGAGCGGCTCGGGAGTGGCGTCCGAGACGGCCGCGTAGATGGCATCGGCAAACGGCTTGGAGGGTACCGATCCGTTACTGGCATTGCACGCCGGAGATAAAGAACCTTGACAGTCTACCTCGGCGACAACCTTCAGAGGCGGCGGCGAGGGCGGCGGCGGCGGCGGCGGCGATTTCAGAGACTCTGACGGTGGCGGCGGCAGCATGCCTGGTGAGGGTTTGCTGTCCACGCAGCAGCCGTGACAATCGCAGCCGAGATGTACGATGAGACCCTCGCACGATAGCATACCTCGCAGCTGCAGGCAGGTTGTCGCGCCGCATGAGAAGTCTCAGGAGGGTGGCAGTGACGGCGGCGACTGCTCCGGCTCCGGTGGTGGCGATGTTGGGGTCGAACTGAGCGCGATAGTGTCGACGCGCAGCTCACCAGATTGGTGCACGACGCGTACACCCAGCGGCTGGGCAAGGCTAGTCAAGTCGTTGAGGCCGAGGCGCGGCATCACCGATATGGTCTCTTCGGCGCAGCTGTCGGCCCGTCTCCGGCTGCTCAAGACCCTGTGCGTGTCTGCAGCCCGATGCTGCCGCCAAACAGGGGAGGGGTGCATACTCAGCAGCGTGTAGATCGTCGTGTGCCTTCGAAGACGTCGCACACGCACGAGCGGCGAGAGTTTAATGGGACGACCGCGTTGCAGTCTTCGAAATTTCAGAATTTTACAATTAGAGAGCAGGCCGGCCGCCCCCGGGCGGTGCGCCGGCTTTACTTTCTTCCTCCCCCTTGTTGTCCTCGAGGGGCCGGTTCCGCCGCGCAGTCGAGCAGCAGGAGCTCGGGCACAGCTTTGTCGACAAACAGGTTGAGCAAAATTTCGGCGAAGAAGCGCCACCGGCGGCACGCCGGGATGAATCCGGACCGATCCCATTGTTCAGAACCGCGACGGCGAGCCGCCGCGGGCCCACAGGAGGCCTCGGAGCCGCGGCACCGGTCCGCGCCGCCACAGCGGGGCGAGAGCACCAGCCTACAACCTGCCGACATGGCAGTTGCGATGGCGCTTTCACACACACACACACACACACACACACACACACACGCTGTCCTGACACCTGACTCCTGTGAGCTGTGTGTGTGCTGTGTGTCCAGCAAGCAGTCCAGACCCGGTCGGTGCTACAGCCGGTGATGACAGTCTTGTGCCTCGTGTCGGCTCCCGAGCCAATCGTGTGCAGCGTGTGTGTGCGTGTGGGCCCGTCCTCCATAGGTAGGTAGGTAGTAAGGTGAAGAACAGCCAGGCTCGGACTGGACACCAACGCGGTATGGGTGGACGCTGGACAGATGATGACGACACGCACGAGCGACACACAGACACAAACAAGCTCACAAGACACACAGCCAGCTGGCTGCCACACACCCTGAGTCGGCGTACACATAACTCAGGGCCACATCCTTCCTGTCGCCCCCCCCAGCACTCCACGGTGCCAAGGGCACAAACAAGGGCACAACTCAAACAACAGACGACAGGAAGTGACATGTGAGGCTAGAGCAGCTTGCTCCACCTCTAGCAATCTCACCGGCCTGCGAGGCACGGACGAGACCGTATGTGGGGTCTAGTGAGGTGTCTATGGACGCTCCATGCGAGGCAGCTGAACTGAACGCGGCGAGAAATTCTTGCTCGCGTGGGGGAGTTTGGTAGGACGCTCGCTAGCTAGTGAGCTTGCCGGAAGCGCGCGCGATGGTCACAAACTCCACCCACAGCACCCAGCTCGCGGACATCTTCTTCCGCGCCGACAAGGTGCTCAGCGAGGCGGACCTCGCGCGCACAAACGAGCTGCGGCGCACCTACCGGCAGTGGCGCAGCGGCTCGTCGGTCGAGCCGCACGCAGACCCGCTGCAGGCCAAGCTGAGCGCGAGCACGGAGGAGACGCGGTCGCGCGCCAAGATGCGGCGCGTAAAGACGTACGGCCAGCTCGGCTCAGCCTCGGGCTCGGATACCTCCTCCACATCGCCTCCGCCGTCAGAGGCGCGCGCAGACACGCCTCGCTCAGGGCTTTGGCGCGGCCGCGTCCGTGCCACCCCGCTTTACCTTCCCGTCCAGGCGCTCGCGTCACTGGCGGCGCCTGGCAGCAGCAGCGGCGGCGGCGGCGCGCCGGCGGCGGCGCCCAGCGCGGCGGGCAGCGGCGGCGGCGGCGGTGGCCCGGCGCCCTCCCCAAAGAGGCCAATCCTGGCCGCCGGGGGCTGCCCGTTCCCGCAGGGCGCGCTGCCGCCGCCCGTCGCGCTGCCCACCGCGAGCGTCGCCGCGCCCGCCTCATCCC